TTTTTTTTTTGAATAATTTCTAGTTTTTATTAATTATGTTGTTTTTTAATGTTCTGTTTATTTTAGGAACGTGATTTTTATTTTTCAAAACTACGACAGATTGAAGTGTTTTGCCAGGACAATGAGCAGATTGGAACTGTTGATGTGCCTACAATATTGGGGGTTGGCATTGTTACTTTTTGATTTCGAGTTCAATAAGTGTTATTTATAACTTTTGATTGTCGCGATTGTAGGTACTTTACGAGACAGAAGAAGGTTTTGCTCAGCCTACAGAAAATGACGTTGAAAATGGCGGCGAAGAAGTATATTAGGCGATGTTTAGATCGCGGGTTACGGATTCGTCGTTTCTTCATTTCAAGCTGTTTAGTCGTTTGGTGGAGTTGTATATTTTACGTTATCTGAGTTATCTGTTACATAAGCTTCAGTGGATTGGGTTGCTTGAATGACAATTTTTAAATTTTATTTTGTTTTTATTTTTATTTTTGTTTTTGCTGGATTTGCGTACTTGTTTGGAAGTCGAATAGTATTTGCTTCTGTAAACAGTGTCTGCCTTATGTTTGAGTACTGTCTGAACTTTATTCTTCTGCTTTACTGGCTTTGATTTTAACAATTTCTGACTGTTCACTGTTTTAATTGGATTCTAACAGATTCAAATTCTCTCTCGAGCTTTTATTTTTGACATGTATCTCTTTTAAAATTAAAAATTGTGTTGATTAATTTATTGTTTTTATCTTTTGTTCGCAGTGAAGTTTGATTTTATTGTGTTTATTTTTCCGAGTTGTGGAACATAATTGTAAATTGTAAATCGGGCAAGAGTCTTCATTACTGATAAGGGTGGGTAGCTAAATAGTGTAACCGTTACAGTTCGTTTGGATGTTGATTCATCTCTTTTCTGTTCCTGAAGTCTGTAGTTCTAGTTAGTGGGTGTGGAAACTGTTTCTTGAATAAGCAGCGTGTTTCACGTACATTGCTTTATTGTTACTATTATTTCTTGTTTATCTTCTATGGATTTGCCGCATTTTACCTGTAGTTTTTGTCCAGTAATGGTGTTCTTGTGTGGCGGAAAAGAATTGATGATTTTATTCAGGTTGTTTTTGCATAGTTTGCTTTTTTGTTCGCTCACACAAAATTCTGGCTCAACTCAAGTTCTTTTAATTTGCTAAACTAAGACGAATAAAGAATAAATTTTTAAAATTTTTACAGCTTGCAGCTTTTTGATTACCCATTGAATTAATGCTGTGGTACAATTACTGTATATAAAACGTGGTCTGCAAATTGTTTTCTAGCTAAAGCATTGGTAGAAATAGTTCACTCGAGATGGCGGTTAAGATATTGGCAAACTTCTGGTTTCGAGTGGAACATCAAAAACTTCTGCTTGTAAAATTCGTTTTTTTTTTTCTAGTGTTGGCTAGCGTCTTGGGTGCTGCTGTCGAAGAGTGCGAAGTTCCGGTGGTGGCTCGTAGAAGTTTTGCCTCCTGTAGTCGAGCACAACCAGTTTTTTTATTCATACGTTTTTTTAATATAATGTTTATATGGGTTTTTCAAAGGACTTAGATTAAGGAAGGACCTGAGCTTTATTTTTGATAAAGTGTGTTTCGATGTTCGAAATTTTGGTGAAGAGCTGTCGTTTTTTTCTGAAAGTTCTGCATGTTTAGTGATCTAATTTAGTTTGCGTAATGAGATGCCTCTTAGCAATTTGGAAAGCTTCATGTGGACAAGTTCTAGACTGAAAGTTTTATCAGCTATATGCTATGGTTTTAAAACTGGAGGTGGTGTTGGACTTTCTACTTGCTTTTCTATCAAAGCTATCGCATTAATGGCTCATCTTGACATCGTATGCCTTTCAAAAGCTATCGTCTACCAATGAGAGGAAGTTTATGTAAAAGAAGTGATTTCTTATTAACGTTGTTTCTTGAACCTGACAAGCAGTAGAGTGGTTCAGCTCGACTGCTTTCCCAGAAAAGCCGGAATTGCGGTGACATTTTTGCATCATATGAAAATTAGGGTTGGAGCACTCCTGATTTCATAATTTGTTGCGAATAGTTAAAAGAAAAAGTCGGCAGTTCAACTAAAACGATTAATAAATTAATGACTTGTTTACAAGTTTCCCCTTTTCAAGTTTGCAACTGGTCAGTCGTAGGGTCTCTACTTTGTTTTTTTCAGCATTTAGCGTACCAGATTTGAAGGGTTTAGAGCTTTTAAAAAAGTGCTTTCAGGAAATAGAACTGTAGTCGTAGTTACCAGTTGCATTTAAGGGTTAAAGATGCCATTTAAATTGCTTTAATTTAAAGTTGGTTGAAGGTTTTTCAATGAAATTTGCTATTTTTTTGCCAGTATTGCTAAATCCTCGTCTGTTACTGTATGTTTTTGCATCGCTTATACCATTAAATATACTAATATATGCGATTCATAAGTCATTTTCCAGATATGACGAGCTCAACAGCTGTAAACCCCTCAACGCTGCTACCGCTGGAGTTAGTGGATAAATGCATAGGTTCACGTATTTGGGTTATCATGAAAGGTATAGTTTTATCTATTTATAAGTTAATATGGAACAATAAGTTTTAAGAACAGCAGGTTTTTTGGAACCACTACTATTTGCTTTAGCAAACAGATATTACTTATTTATTTTATTATTAAAAAACCGGTAAATAAACATCAGGCAAATTAAGCTTACTTTTTAAACTTTCTTGAGGAACAAGTTATAGCATCGCGAGTTAAGACATGTTGGATTTATATATACCTACGTAGTAAGAGTGCAGCTTTTGTGATTGAAAAATTGAAATCATTGGAGGTTAGTTATAGGTGAAAAAGAAATTGTTGGAACATTGATGGGCTTTGATGATTATGTTAATATGGTTTTGGAAGATGTTGTTGAATATGAGAATACTGTTGATGGTAAAAGAGTTACCAAGTTGGATACAATTTTGTTGAATGGAAATCACATAACCATGCTCGTTCCTGGCGGCGAAGGACCTGAAGTTTAGATAATTCTACACAGTTACTGATGTCCTTTACTTTTATTGTTTATAATTTATAAGTTTTCAACGGCAGAGTTTTTCGGCTTTGTTTTTCAAGACGACAACTAAGTCAGATTTGTTGAAATGATGAATGTTTATCAGTTTATGCGTTATTTCTGTGAAATTTGCCTTTATATTTTTGCCTGACTTTATAAACAAGTTGCGCTTACGTAAAACTGCGTAACCTTAGACTTGTTTTCTACTTTATATTGTTATGGTCTCATATTAGTACCTTTCAGTGTGTAAATTTCTTGACGATTTGCTGGGAATATTTATGCGTTGTTTTATGGAAGTCATTTTCTGAGTTCCTGAAAATAAATGCAGACAGGCGTTGGTATTTATTTATACAGGCACACTTTTAACAGTATATTGGCACATGTTAATAGTGTGCGGGTCAGGAAGAAATAAAGTAGTTTACTGTTATAAGTTTCGTTGTTACTAAACGTGGGTAATGAAGGGTCAGCTTAAAACAGGGCGAAGGAGAATCAGTTGTAGCAAAAAATGTGTTTTGGCGAGAGTAACTATATGGAGATTTTCTGCTGTTTCGAATTAAGCCTGCTTTTGTACATTTTTGTTGGTACGGTATAAAAACGTGCTGCAAACAAATATGCTCAGCATATTGTTTATTAAGCCGAAGAAGAAATGATATGGCCATCAAAAATATGTACCTCTGATACAACATAAAAATTTGATGCATTCAACAGCAACTTGCTGAGCAGCGGTTCAAGAATTTTTTTAGATAAAAAAGTTGCATATTAATCTTACATTATTGAGTTGTCATAATTTTACTAGTAGCTTTCACATTTGAAGGCTACAATAATAAGTACGACAAGTTTTGCACGATTATTCAGGAACGGCCTCTTACCCAATGTCTCACGCTCAAAGAGTAGTCATTGAAAATAGTGTTTTGACTGGTCATGATAGGTCATCTTACGTGTATGGCGCAAATTGCAAGTGCTCAACTGAAAATTAAAAGATTTCTCGAAAGATGACATCTGATGGATAAAAAAATTTGCATGAAAAAACGATGTCTTTGCCACTACGTAGGTAAAGGATTGCTGAATTTGCTTTCAAATTTTTTACATTGTTAGTTATTTACGGGTCATCTATTTGAATTGAGCTATTAATTTACCTAGGTAGATTACACTTCAGTTAAAATCGCCTGCAATTAGTTGGAGTATCTTGTGCATTGTAATTAAATAGCGTCAATTCAGCCTACTGTTGAAGAAACATTCTACAATATTTGGCTTCACTGTTCTTGTTGAGTGATGGAAGTTCTGGCATTTCCAAAGTTGACTGAAGTGTGTTTTACACAACTTCCTTCTCTAAGTCGTTCTCTGTTTCTAACTGGACACTAATTTGGAAGGATCGCAGATGGTTAAAAATAAGCGCTAAATACTTTATAACAACAGGTGTTCAAGTGTGTTCAAGTACTGCTCTGGTATGGTAAACTTCGGCTGATGCCAATTATTTAATCAATCTGTCTAAACCTGTCAAATTGTCAGGATTGGTGATATAGGTATGGACGGAGAAAGTACAGTTTTGCATGGTTTGTTTGAATGTGGATAAGAATTAAAATTGAAAATCTTTTGCAAAATCAGACGTAACTTTTCAAAGTCAGAAGTGCTGAAGCTACAGCTAACTTATAGACTGAATTGTTCAGATTTATATTTCACTGTTTTTTTTTAAAACTTTATTGATGATATCTGTGGCATAAATGTTTGCTAGAGTAGGGTAGAGTTTAGTGGGTACTGAATTATGTACAACAGCGCTCAGCTAATTTTATCGTATTTGATTTTGTGAATAGCTTTATACATTTTACATGAATGAAACTTTAATTATATTAAGAGGCAAACAACGGATGCAGATCAAAGCTGATTTGTCAACTAGAAGTTGAGGAGATAAAACTTAATTTTTGGTATAGAAAAACAATGGCAGCTACAGAGTAAAAAATTCTTTTTTTTTGTGTAGAATTACAGCAACTTTATTTTCGCTTGATAGATAGAGGACAAGTGAAGTAAAAAAATTTGTTGTAAATGGCTCTGATGAGATCAATAAATAGAGGCGTTTAGGTTAACCATTTATGGTAGCGTTTAAAAGACTTTCAAGGAAAAAAGAAAGATTGGAACTTGTAGTATGGTCTATGGTTACTGTTCACAGAAAAATGGCACTGAATTGTTTGTTGAAACTGCATATTGCTCTTGAAACACTACATACTGTTTTTTGGCAAAGA